ATGGCTAAAGCCCACACAATGATAGTCAGTGAGGTTGAACTTTTTTGTTACTCCGAAGCTGATGTTAACGTGGTGTGGGCTAGGGACAGAAGCCCATTGTACGCATGAGATAGCACTCAGGAAGATGAACAAAGTCACAGTCTTATCTTGAAAAAAAATAAGTTAATAATAATAATTCCAATCCAAATTTGCAGTAACTGAACACAGGAATCACCGCTCTCTTGTATTCAGTTAGAACAAGCAAATTTGGAGCTGTGTACATGTCATCTGTCTGTGTGCTGTTGGTTTTTGTTCACCAGCAGCCTATGTGGTCTCTACCAAGTTGGGTCGTTGCATTGCTTTCTGAGCAGAGATACCAGTTTAACAAGTAGAAGGAATGAGTTGTGTTTGAGAGAATTGTGTTCCAGTTTTGTGTGACCAAAAGAAAAGCTAATTCCATCTGTCATATTAATATGCTGGCAAGATTGGTTTAATGTAGTGTAGTATTTTGTACTTGGTCAAGGAAAAGTTGGTTTGATGAATTTTGAAGTTTGAAAGGGTGTCACCTTGTACAGTGGATGTAGAAATGCCAAATGATAGCTCATCATGTGGATTCAATGAGCTATGCAGTTTAGAAATGCTTCATGAGGAATGAAGGTTCTTGGTATGCTGGACGTCAAGGATTATTCTTTGCATCATAATTTACAAGTAAGGACAAGTTCTTGAAAAGGAATGAGTGAGTGCTTAAAATGTCTTGGGATGGATTGACTGTAGGTGATCTGATGGCGACCACATGGTGCTGTTGGTATTTTCAGAAACTGTATCACTCCAAACAACTGGTAAGTTCTAAAGACAGAACTCCCAAGGATAGTGTCACCTCTGTTTGGGTGTTACACATGTTTTGAGTAACTGGTCTTTTCAATCCAGTTTTTAAGAGATTGTGCAGCTCAAATAGTTCTTGTCTATTGTCATTATTGTGTAAGAAAAATTTCTCAGTATCATGGAATGCATGGAGCTCATTCAAGCATGTTGTAATTTTTAATGAGTTCAGTATGTCCCTGATATAAGAGAATTGCCATTTTTGTGAAAATCTCTTTATAATGTATTGCAAGTGCTATTTGAGAAGATACAACTTACTGTTAGTAACCATCAGAATCTGGATTTCATAAGGGCACATACAACCTTTTTTTTATATATTTTTTATTTATTAATATTTTTTTCATGACAAAGACAGGTCTTCTACTACATCAGTGTTGTTTCCACCGTGAATTACTTGTTCAGGGACTGACTTCTGCAAAATACTCAAGAATATGTATTAGCATGTATTTTGTGCACTGTATGCATGTATTTTTCTTGAATAAATTGCAGCACTCAGTCCCTACATGTGACTATGGCTGTAACTTACACAATGTGGTATTTGCATCAAGCCCTATGTGTACAATCTCCAGTTCATGTTAAAGTTAAAAAAAAAAAGAAAAAGAATAATGTAATGAGTTGAATATTACAAGTCCAAACTTAGTTAACAGGACACATAGATATAGTATAACTTAGAAAAAATTAATATGAAGCTTTTTGTCTATTTCTCATCCCTCCCCACCTAAATAATAATTATAAGTTGAATATTATCTATGTGATCTGCTAACAATTTCTATTTATTATGTTCTACAGTTATGCACTAAGTGAATTCAGACAAATTGAACTTTGCCTTTTATTTACCTTCTACAAGTTAATTGTTTAAGATTTGCAGCGTCTGTATTTCATAAGATTAAGGAAGATGAAGAAAAGGCTCTTAACTTCTCAATACTGAAAAATGAAATTAAAATATTTGTTTTTCACTTAATTTCAGTCAGTGTTTTATAATAATAATTTATAATTAATTACTAATATTATTATCAATTATTATTTTTAGTTTTATTATCATCATTTGTTGTTTTTGCTGCTGCTGCTGCTACACATGAAGTATGTGATCACCCAAGTCTTAGCATTTCCTTATTTAGAATTGCAGTTTGGAAGCTACTCCATAGAACTATTCTCTTTTGTTATATGAAACAGAAGTAAATTTAGATTTATTTCTGTTCACTTTGGCATACAAGTTATGCTGCAGACATTTTAGGAGCCAGAAAATGTTTAAGTGGTGCACAACTGTATGTTGCAAGTCAAGCTTTGTTTTATAAATATGTTTTTTTCTTTTATATATATAGAACAAAGGAAATTGAGTTACACAAGTTAAACAGAATGCATATTGGAGTGATATATTTGAATAGCCTTTTTTCAGATCTATAAAACTATCAATTGTAAAGTACTGAATATTCAGCTGAAGAAAACAAAATTCTAAATTTGGTTATACAGGAAGCCTCAGTATCCAATAAATATATTAGGTACAACTGTTATCTCTATCAGGAGACAAGGCATAAGACTTTTTTTTTTGCCAGATTCTTAGATTTTAGAGCTTTTCAGCCCCCCCCCCCCCATTCCCTTGCCTATTGTTGTTGTGGGGGGGGAGGCTTAGGAGATGGAGCCTGAGGCCCAAGGTAGGGGGATCTCCCCTATCTTGTCCTTAGCCCTTGCCTCAGCTCATTTGCATGGTATTTTCTTCTCTCCTTTTCTTTTTCTTCATCCCTTTGTTCTGTCCACTTATCCTAATTGTTTACTCATTTTTGCCTTTTTTGCCACAATATTTTATCATGGCTCCAACTTCTCGATGCTTATAGTCAACTTGATCCATTCCAAATCATCCAAGTCTTTACTCGACCTTCAGAATATGTCCCTTCTCTTACATTATCCACCAATCCATCTCCTCCACCTACACTTTTTCTTCATTTTGTGCACCCTCTTCCCCTATTACCACTCTTCATCCTTTCTGTTCTCCTCCTCTCACCCCCCACCCCCCTTCCTCATGTTCTCATCCTTCTACAACTTCTAACTTTACAATCCTTTTAACCCCTGCATCCAGCTGGCACACTGCTTTCATGTAGCTCAAAATCTGGGTATTAGGCTTGCTTGAGTGGTGGTGACTCCTGGGTTTGTGATTTTTTTTTTTCACTCTTTCTTTCTTTACCCAAGGTCTGTTTTTGTCATTTGATATGCTGTGTCAAGCAGGTATTATACACTTCCTTGCACAGACTCCATATCATCTCTGTAAGTAGTCTAAGTCTGTGCAAGACCAATAACAATATTTGTGTACATTTTTTTCATATTTTTATAATGAATTTTCTTGTCATGGTAGGCAGGAATAAGATCCTGAGCATGGAAACAATGTCCTCCCAAATGCCAACGCTCTTCAAGCCATGGCTTATGGATGGTACATTCCACACTCATTCACAGATCGAAATAAACCTAGAGCCCCTTCCAAGATGCCCACCGAGTCTTTTAACATTCCATTTGTGGTAAGTCATTCTTGTCACCTCAGCCTTCAGCAGAAATTCTTATGACATTCTCATCAGCCTGGCCTCCAATCAATCTAATCACACATACCCCCCCCCCCCCCTTTATGAATCCCTGCCTTACCATTTGCCCCCCACTTTTATTTTACTTTCATTACTATACTAACCTGTAGCACTGTACAACTTTCGACATCTAACATACTTTAATACAGACACAATGATTAAACAAAGTATTGATTAAACAGACAGTGCTGTATGATCTTTGATGTCTATCACATTTATTTATCTTAACCATTATATAAATCCATTTATGAAGTTGACAAAGTTGGGCATACACCTGAAAATTGTACTCAAATGATAACCTCTTTCAGAATTTGATCATAACAGAATAACACAAAATGTATACTATTTTGTGGTATTTACACAAAACGCAACTTTTCATTTTATGTATTTATTAACCTTTTTACTCAATGTTCTAACAACTCATTCTTGCATTGGAAAATTTGCATACATTTAAATAGTAAGAAGAGCCCTTTTGACTGCCCGATCCTTCTTCTTTCTCTTCTTCCTGGATGTCTGTACATTTTCTAATGCCTCTGCAAACATTTGTGTCTCGGAGCGTTCCTCAATGCGATCTTTCATGTGACGTAACCCGGCAGCATTAAAGCCAATCATATCCTGTAAAATACAAGGAGTGCTAAGATATATGGGTGTGTATATATATTCTATGCTAAACCACCTCCATATTTTAATACACTATTGTAGCAATAAAATTACAGAAGGCAGTATTATCATAAACTACTGTGGACAAGAATAACCAGTATGCTAGAGGCAGCATATTGATTCAGAGTTCACTATGTGACTGTATTAATGATCAGATTACAATTCACAGAGGGGGGGGGGTTGTTTATCATAAAAATATATGGTAATATTGAGCATATTCTCCCATGAACTTCAGAATAATACTTTTACTTGATCAAAAGTATATTTTCTTTTATCGAGAAAAATGGAGTAGGTAAAACTACCTAATAATTATATAACATCTTGTATATTTATCTATTAATTTTTATTGTGTGTATTAACTTGATGCTGATTTGGAGCTTCACACAGCCAGATGCTGTAACGAATCAACCACTTAATGGAGAAAAAAAAATTCCCACCCTGTGTGGACATGACTCAAGTCTTGATCAACAATGATGGGACTGGCCTCATTACATAACCATGACAATAATTAAAATATGTCTAGTCTATTCCACATTTTCCTCAAAGATATTTTTGCACATTTTTTTAACAATATAAATATTTAAATTTGCAAAAAGCACAATATGTGTAGTCTGGCCTCAGTTTCCTTAAATAAAAAGATAAATTCCATCTTAAAGAAAAACTACATCCAGAGTTAGTATAGAAAGAAGAAGAAAAAAAAAAAGGTTTAACTATGGTATTATAGTGTATCAACTCAATGATGAATGCAGTCCTTTGCACCAAATAAAGATAAGATGCAATTTACACTTTTTCCTTTTAACAGTTATTCTTGCTAAATTCTTTGTGAAGTAGGGACAGGTTTCATTTTATCCACAAAACTAGTTGGGTTGTTTTCACTTTTTTCACCTTGAAATTGGAAAGTCTAACTAGAGGCGGTCCAACTACAAGCTTCCTATTTTTATTTTTATTTTTATTTTTATTTTTATTTTTTTATTTTATTTTTTATTTTTGAATAAATATGACCAGCTAAATTCCAGTTGGTAAAGAGAGAAGAAAAGATTTAACTATAGTAATATAGTGCATCAATTCAATGATGAATGCAGTCATTTGCACCATATTAAGATAAAATGCACTTTTACACTTTGTATTGCAATTATTTATTATTTATTGACATCCCACTTTAACTACAACATTTTATGGGAGGGAGGGACTATTTTGTATAGCCAAACTTTGAAATCTCCACCAGGTAAAAAAAAAAAAAATGTCGAGCAGAAGCTACTATTCAAAACTTAACTGGACTATAAAAAATATATATATATCTGTAATAATAATAAATATCCATAACATGTTCTGTTTCCTACAAGATTTCTTATGATACCCAGAAAGTCACTAAATTGTAATTATTCCCTTTGGCACCCTAAAGAGTCCCCTTAGGGCTCTTGTTTGAAACAGAGTTGAGGGGAGACCTCCCTGGGAACTAATAACATGACCACACATTGAAAAACTAATACAGCAAGGAAACCAACAAGATATACGAGTATTAACACTAATATATTAAGGTGGTATGATCAAGGTGCTCAGCTGAGGTCACCTAATTACTTGCACAAATCCAAAGAAAAGTGAGATTGTTAATTCAGAGAAACTAATCTAGAAATGCTTTATTTTACACTTTTAAAGATGAAATAAGAAAATATATATTATAACCTCATGTCACTTGCCAGGCTACCTAACAATAACTCTGTTTTGGAGTATATGACATAAGAAGATACTAATTGAGAACAGTAAAAATGGGGTTTGGAAGGAAACTCTTTTTGGTGGTAATACAATAAGTGAGCATTGTATACATAGTGAACCTCCACAGACCCTAACTGTGTGGAGCATTGCACTACACAAATACGAAAGTGAAGCTCAAAGCTCATGGAAGTACAACTTACAACAGAAACAACAAAAGACATACTACGTAAAACACAAACCTTAAATTCCTTGATCCTCTGGGGTAGAAGCTGAGCTAAAGACCTCACCATTGGAGCTGCCTTAGGTGAGGAGAGGAGCTGAGGTAGGTTGATCCTCACAGCCAACACCAGGATCCTGCTGGCTAATTCAATATCCCAGTTGTTCTCCAAAAGGCCCTTGATAACCACCATCAACTCCAGAATGTTGTCTAATGGTAGCATGATAACAGCCTCTTCCAGCTCGCTACAAGGAGGAACAAATTGGTGTTGTGAACAATTAACAGTGAGGAATAATGCCAAACTAAGATTATACTGCAAGTAATTATCAATTTCTCTTGGCTTTTGAGATCCTCCATAGAAAATAAAAGCAACAACAGATATTTAAGCCCCCCATGTGTGATAATTAATTACCTATGAGCATTTGAGTAATATCTGAATTACAATTGTTAGTGCTAATATTTTGAAGCAAAAAAAGTCTACATATATATAAACACACACACACACTAGCCACAACTCATCTTGAATGTTGAGAACTTTTAGTAGCTGCTTTAACAGTCTCAATCTTATAACCTCACTCCTTTACAAATAAAGCAAAAGTTCTATTAAACTGCATAAAAACTGCCTTATTACATTTTGAACATTTAAAATATTGAATTTCCATAAAACATTTAGTTTTTATTTAATCATTATCCTCGAAAGAGAAAAAAAGTCTTCCATGTATATATAACAGAATAAATATTTTGTTGCTATTTTAAATTTTGTCTTTATGTACAATAGTTTCAACACAAATGCCATGCAGAGGATTTAAAAAGGGCCACCTACTGCATGAGCATTCATGTCTGTTCTACATGTGTACTATTATTGAATTCTTTGATATTTAGTCTTTTCTTTTATTTTTACTTTAAATTACATCAAACCATTTTGTTTTGGCCAATGCATATAAAAACAAGTTTTACAACCCTTCAACTTATCTGTAGATGGTTTCACAAACTTTCACCATATAATATACCATTATAATTTCTAAGGATACAGTAAGATTTCATGATATTTCATACAATGATCATATGAGTTATCTTGACAAATGTTTAATAAGCACTTACCAATCCTGATTTGAAGTCTACTATAATGTGTTATTTTAGAGTTATACAGGTATTAGGTTACAAAATTACACATACTGCACATATTTGCAAGGCTGGAAGTTGCATTTTCCAGAAAAAAGTATACAGAAATTATACTTACAAATCACTAATGACCAAACCAAGGATTTTCATGTGTTCTTCATAATATTACAGTAACTTATATCAAATAACATGATGTTGGGGGTTATTAAAGACAATGTAAAAGCTATGCCTATGGCTCTGAACATTTCAGCTTAATTCTTCCTTGAGGAAAATGGTCCATTTTAGTACTAAATGCTTCTAGAATGAAATATATATATTCAAAAGTCCAAGAATATAAAATGAAGCATCTCACTATTTTAAAGGTTAGCATTTGAGTTTGCAAAATCAAAACATTTTATATATTTTCTGTTCCCAGGCAATGTCAGTTTAATCTTAAAGATGATGATATTATTTTTTTAAGATGATGATTAATTAATCCAACAATGACTCTCACCAATGAGCCAGCGAGAACATAGGTAGACCCTTGCCAGCTTATATGCAAGACATTTTACCTAAATTTCAATTTGAATATTATCTTTCATTCACCTGTATGTATTATTTTATAGAAATTGTATGAAATTCCCTACAAAAAATATAAAATATTTTCAATGGATATATACTAATGTATATATGCTCACTCTGTCTGTGTGTCTGTGTGTCTCTGTCTGCCTGTGTGTCTCTCTCTGTCTGTGTGTCTCTGTCTGTCTCTTGCCTCCCAAATGTCTTTCAAAGACACTGCCAACCTGGATGTTCATCAATATTGGTTAAAACAGTATCAGATTACTATTTTATTTTATTTATTTGGTTATTATTTCATTTTAAAATAAACAGCATAAGAGGTGATTACATAACACATCTCCCTTCCTTAGTACACAAAACCATCATTAGATTATGGCTCTATTGAATGTCAACACCTTTGAATTAGGTATATTTCATCAATCAAGACATTCAAAGAACATGAAAGGGAAGGAGGGGAAAAAAAAACTTACCTTGATTTAATTTTTCTGAGGACTTCCAAGACAAATCTAAGAGGGTCAGCAGTATTGTAAACGTATGCCATGAGTTGGTGGGGCGTGGCAGAGGGACCTGCTTCCACCTGCTCTCTATAGATCTCCAATGCTTCTCTAATGGAATCAACCTGGCAAATGTTAAATTCAGAGGGAATGAGTAGCAGTATCAAAGGTTTACAAGCAAACATTCATTCAATTCTGAATTGCCATTCAAAAACAACATGAAATTTTCTCAAAAGGAGAATGATCAACATGCAAGAACAAAAAGATGAGAGTGATTTTCCTACATGAATATGATTACCCCATCTCAAGTTCATCTGAATAAAAATGGAAGACTTACTGCTCTCTCGGTCTCCTGTGTGGTGGTAGAAGGACGGACTGCTTGGGCTCCATCTTCTCCAGGAACAGCAGGTCTCTGGGATGCCAACATCCCACTCTCTTCCTCCTCCTTCAGGCGTTCTTCTTCACGCTCATCTTCAAGTACTAATGGTTCCTGCGTGCGCTGCCACAGGCGAATGGAGCGGTCCTGGCCACAGGTGGCCACCCAGGCCCCCTTAGGGCACACTGCCAGGCAGCTGAAATGTAAACATTGCATGATAGATATGTTTTATCTCTGTATGGGGGGGAGGGGGGGGAGGGGGGGAAAGAGAGAGAGGGAGGGAGGGAGGGAGGGAGGGAGGGAGGGAGGGAGGGAGGGAGGGAGGGAGGGAGGGAGGGAGGGAGGGAGGGAGGGAGGGAGGGAGGGAGAGAGGGAGGGAGGGAGGGAGGGAGAGAGAGAGAGAGAGAGAGAGGGAGAGAGAGAGAGAGAGAGAGAGAGAGAGAGAGAGAGAGAGAGAGAGAGAGGATGAATGAATGACATAAAAACTTATTTGACATTATTTCTCTAGTATTACTGAGCTACCTCAGATCTTCACAGATAACCACTCAGCAGATTCACTTCTATTTTCAGAGTTCTGTGACAATCGACTTATTTGCTGAATTTAAATTGTATTTCTATGCACTTTTTAGCTTTTATCTTCATCCTGTTTGATGAAGCCTTTTCCAATAAATGTTGCCCTGTCCTGGTTTGTGTGTTAGTTCTCAAGGCATGTCATCCAAGTATTTGTAGATTTTTGCATGTGGAATATTATCCCCATTAACTACTATTATGAATAATAATATACAATAATCCTAAGGTATTCAAAGGAAACTTACCGAATGATCCCAACATGTCCTTGCAGTGTGATGATCCTCTGAAAATTATCCGCGTCCCACTGCTTTAGTGTGCCATCGTGGCCACATGAGAAGAACATGTGTGTGTTTGATATGAACTGGAGGTCCGTCACACCTCCCTGGTGGGCATTCTTCAGTAGTCTGTGGAAAGTGAGTACTGTACTACTATCTACAGGGAATGACATATTAATGTATGCCTTACTGAAGGAAAACTACTTGTTTCTGATTATTAATTCATCCAAAGATTATGAAGAAAAATGGAAAAACTAAGTTCAGATGATTCCTTTATGATTCTATTTGAATTTATAGTCATATAACAAAGCACCCATGACACTCCTGTTCTATTCAAAGAAAGCCTTAACGTGCATACACAATACACCTGCACATTCCCAATCTCTTTATACAGAACAATGCTTCAAGTCTCACTTCCTCATGTCTCCAAAATCTGTTCCATAAATACGAACGCTTGAATCTTTACTGCCTGTTACTATCAACGTTGCATCTGTGGAAAAGTCCATGCAAGTTGAAGGGAGGGACTTGCCATACAGTTCATGGTACAACTGCAAAAGTGGGAGAAAAGGCAACACATTAAATGCTGGAAATGCTTTTTATGCATTTCTTGTCTCATATCTGGAGTGGTTTTCACATGATATGGTAAAACTCGACAATAATGTAGATTATTACCCTATAAAACAATCTAATCAAAAAATAAAAAACAATGATATATATTATGGATTTGAAAATACATACAAATCTATAAAGATTTATAATCTTACAGTGAGAATTATACAAGCCACTATTCAAATAATTAAATCTATTGAAATTTGACAGTCCAAAATTCATAATGAATTGCATCACTGGTGAAGTCAAACCAAATATAAGGATTAATATCACTTCAGTAGTTATATAATGTCATCACATGTACTAAGAAAAAGAAAAAGAGAGAAAAAACTAAGAACGAAAATCATAACAACCTTCAAAGTATCACTATAATAAAGTGTTTCTTTGTTGTCAAGTGTTGCAACTGCAATGTAAAAACCATCACTGGCACACCGCACTGAAGTAACTTGATCTGCAACCTGAAAAAGGAAACAAAATCATACATGAAAATTATTTCAAAATACTACTTATTAGTCAGTTGGTCTCAAAAATTAATGTACAATATCCTGTCTTAATATTCGTCATGACAATGCTTCTCAAAGAATATATTTTTATTCTATTAATCGTCACATTTTCTAACAGGGGCAGAAATCTGTATGACAAAGAATTACTTACTTTGAGAGCCCGTTTGTCTTGAATGAAGCTCAGCCTCCTTGCTTGTGATTCACTTTCATCTTTCACTAATTCAAATTTCCAGAATTTGACCATTTTGTCACTGCCACCGGATAAAAATCCTCTCTGAAAAGTACAAATTTAAAAATACAAGTCTATTACAAAAGAAATATGTTAGTCAAGTCATTGCATACATCCAATAATAAAAATGAAATTGTTTTAAAACCACTTCAATAAGACTGTAAACCAAACCATAATTGGAATGCATGCATGTTTTTGCTTTCAAATTTATAGATATTTGTAATCTGCATAAACTCCCTGTTTATATCTATAATATTTCTTATGTCACCTAAGATAAACAAATTCATATTTCTATCCCAGTAAATACACTTATTGTAAAATAAGTCAGCAAATGTTTGTGCACGTTGAATATTATGTCTGATCAATTAACAACACTCATTGGCTAGTACATAAAATGTACCACTTTAGACATCTGCCCTATTGTGCTGCTATTACAAGTCTACATGTAAATGTATACAGAGAACTGATACAGGAGAACTTGTGCATTGCTTTTATATGTGCCTAATGCAATATGAAAAGCATTAACCCTTTGACTGCAGCCTAGGGTTCTACAGCCTAGTGCTAATCTGAATATTGTTGTTGCTTTTTTTATTTAATTGTAAAAATGTTTGAAGAGGCAATTTCATATAAAAAAGTGGCTTTATGTACAAATATAGTAATAGTAATTTTGAGTTTATGATATTTTTTTTTCCCAGAGTAACTAGGGTCACTCACAGCATACTTCTAAAAAAAATCAATAGAATCAGGGTCTGAAAACTTCTGTAGTACAAGAATTCATTAAATTATTTTACAAGAAGATGCACTGCGAGTACATATACATCGGTAGTCTCTCCTGTCAGCCTGGATATAGATGACAATCCTTCCTGGCTAAAACTGGCTTGAGAGTATACACCCATGCAGTGTGAACATAAAAGTAAGCACATTGTGAAACTTGGATTATTAAAATTTTCCAAAGACCTAAAGTACTAACCCCATCATGAGTAAGGGCCAGAGCCCAAACTCCTGTGTCGGTCTCATTCTCTGCTGGCTCATGAGCAACAATATCTTCAAGAATTTTAGCTGACCCCAGATCAAACAGCTGCAGGCGACCGGATCGTGTTCCAATGAGAGCATGGCGGTCACCAGGGACAACAATCACTGAGAGCGCATAGTCACATGGTATTGTGGCTATAGCCTGCTTCTCAGACCTTCAAAAAGATGAGAAAGAAAAGAAGAATAAATCAGAAATAAAAGAAAAAGGGAAAAAAAAAAATTATTATCTGATACAAATATTTCAAAATCCAAAAAAGCAGCATGTATATCCCATCAAGATTATTAACAACTTAAACTAAATTATGAAACTGCCATGTTACACAGATCTTTGTTCTAAAGAAGATATATTACCTATGCCACACTTTTAAAGATTCACCGCTGGCTGTGACAATCTGATCGCTGATTGAATTGAAGGCCACAGCACGTATTTCGCTTCTGTGGCCTGGAAGATGCAGCTGACTAATCTAGAATAAAAAAAGGAAAAACATTTTAAATAAAGAAAAATTTAAATAAAAAGACTGAGAATCCCATTTCTCTCTTATGAACTTTATCTTTTCATGTATATTCTATCTATTTTTCAGAGAATAATCAAACAGCTCAGGCATGGGCTGTTTGCATCAAACAGATTTTACTCCCTCTTAACCCAATGGCGCCGGGTATGGGTATACAAAACAAAAGAGAAACTCTACACTTAAACAAACAAAGGCGGCGTGCCGA